AACTAGGTAGTTTTTAGGGTGCAAACAGTCATTCCACGTTTGCTCATTAGGATCGTTGTGAGCGTCCATCTATGGAGGAATAGCTCAACTACACGCATTGTTGGTTGCATATGTTTTGAGAAGCCGAGTAATCTATAGTTTTCATCTCTGACAAGAAGTTGGTATAGCAAGGTCGCACCTGGATGATTGTGTGTATTGGTCTGCATGTGTATAAAATCAGTGATATCATTCTGAATATGCTGTCAATGCAGAATATCTATCACCTGTGCCCGACGGGTTATTTAATAATAATAATAATAATAATAAAATGTCTTTATTAAGCACATTATATACACTACAACATAATGTGACCTCTACGTAGGCGAAGTCTAGCTCTTGGCTACTCTACTTAACCTACCCAAATACTAAATTGAAACACTCAATCAAAGGAAACTTTGACAAGCAAAAGACGCTTCAAAACAACGAGCTTGATAGCTTCCTAGCATACATATATACACACATATATTTTACGTAAAATAAAATTAAATGTAAGAATTAAAAACTAACTTTTCCACAATTACTACAATGACAAATAAATCTGTTTCACATGCTTACGAAATCTGTTTACTGGCCAATCCTTTATATTGTCATCTAATTCGTTATAAATCAGGATAGCATTGTAAGTGTATGAACTACGAAATAAAGTTGTTTTATACATAGGGATCTCTAGTCTTTTTTTGTGTCTGAAATCAATGTCTGAATTATTTCGTCTGAAAACAAATTTCTCATAAAGATACAAGGGGGATCTAGAAGATATGATCTTATGTCTAAACACTGCTATATGGTACTTGCAAGCATTTTCTATACACATCCAACCAAGCTGAAATCTCGTTAAGGAAACATGATCATACTTCTTGAGATTAAATACAAATCGACAACAAGTATTTTGGAGTTTTTGGAGTCTTGCTTTTGTGATAGAATCAAGACAATGATAGAACACAGTGCTACAGTAAAATAAGCTTGGAAATATAATAGCATCACATAACTTTTTTCTAACTTTAAAATTCAAAATAGAGCGATTGACATAAAAACACTTCAACGTTGCATAACATTTTTTTAAGTTAGACGAAACATGCTCCTTAAACCGTAAAGTATAATCAATAATCAACCCTAAATTTTTTGCAGTATTTACGACAGCTAGACGCTCCTTGTCAATTTTTACATC